CCAAACAGAAAGAATAATATAAAAAGGTATTAAACACTCACGTTAAATGAGAGCCAATAAAGAAAATTTAAGTCAATAAATTTATATATAAATAGTGAGCTCATTAATTCTTCAATTAAAATTTATAAATTATGTCTATATATAATATTACTAACCATTTTCTTTATTATGCTTAGCGACTTCTTCAGCGGTATATTCCTTCTTCTCACGTGGTGATGCCTCAGCTTTCTTTTCAGGGGTGGGTGCCTGGCTTGGTGAAGCTTGAGGAGCTTGAACTGGATTATATTGGCCTGTACTATCTTGTTGTGAACTCCAAGAGATTTCTAAGTGCACTTTTTGATTTGTTGGGTCAACAGAAACAGTTGTTTGGTATGGAGCTAATTGTCCAGCGATTTGCCCTAGACGACGATTAGCAGTTGCACTTGACAAATTCTGGAAAAGATAACGAGATGCGGAATCACCGGCAACACGGCCATAGACTACACATCCCAAAAGAGAGGATCCTCCCAACCTATTGCGATTAATAGAAATTAGATTTTAAACATTAAAGATTAAATAATCAAACATTAATACCTGTTAGCACCATGAACGCCACCAGCTATTTCTCCAGATGCATATAGACCAGGAATAATTTTTCCTTGCACATCTCTGACCTCAGAATCCGCATTTATATCAAGTCCACCCTATAAAAAGCAATGAATTAATCATATAACTTAAGTGTAGGTAATTAAAGATATGACTAAATCATATCTATCATACCATAGTATAATGTAACACGGGAGACATTAAGGCTACATGAAATTGATCATCTATTGAGATTGGAACGTTATGGAAGTATTTCTTGCCAAAAGGATCCTTTTTTCTGTTAGAAGCAATTTCGTTATAATCATCGAACGTTGCTTTTAGTTGTGATGCAGAAATGCCAATTTCTTTTGCCAACGCTTCACCAGAAAATTTTCTCATCAAACCACGACCAACATAATGTTTACAATGCCATTCAATTTCCTTTGAAGCTTTACTATTAAGCACAAGACGAATAGGTCCCTTGGTCTTCCAAATTTCACCAGTAACGTAATCACGATGGCCTAATTCATCACAAAACCGTTTTCCTTCACCATTTAACAGTAACCCACCGACACCTCGAAGTGCTTTAGCGGCCAAAAATTTGATTTTTGCATCAGGCTCTTTAGGATCAACCAATCCTGTTGGATGGACTTGAACCTTTTCCATATTAGTAGCCTTTCCTCCAATGGCCATAACCATTTTATGGCCATCGCCAGTAGAATGATCACCATTGGTAGTGGGTAAATTGTATATGTCTGGACGATACTTTTTTAACAAAGAATCTTCCGTGAAATCAGCTGCATAACCACCAGTAGCCAAAATCACAGGGCCATATTCTTTGAAAGTTTGGCCATCTTTGACATATTCCACGCCTACAACATTATCGCCTTCCTTAATTAACTTCGTTGCACGTGCCTTCTTGATGAGCCGGGCTCGATCAGGTTGTTTGTTGGCAATTTCCTCAATGCCTTCCATTAAAGCGTAGGTTATCGTCATACCTGGTAACATTTCCTTTCCACGATGAGTACGTGGTTGAGAATGACCTCCTAATCGAGATACAAGAGAAAGGTCTAACTTGAATTTCTCCTGAAGCCATTCGACGGCAGAAGCAGAATTTCCAGTAAGAACTTTTATAAGATCAGGGCGAGCAAGATCACGAGCAGATTTTGCTGTATCTTGAGCAAAGATTTCAGCGGAATCTTGAATGCCAAGAGCTATAAACCAAAAAGTTTCGCGTTAATGCTTAGCGTTAGATGAAAATTGCTTATGAATGACGTTTCTCGGTGTCAACACTAGGTGACGGGCTTTGTATTTTTACCCACCTATCTGAGTTTTGGTCAAAGCACCGTTAATACCAGACGTTGCTTTCGTTGAGTTACCGCCAAAAAAGGAATTCTTGTCAAGAACCAAGACGTTTCCACCACGTTCCAAGATTGTGTGTGCGGCAGAAAGGCCAGAAAGACCACCACCAACAACAATAACTTGACTGGACATGATTTTTATTAAGAATTAATTAAAAAATGACTTTTCAAGTTGCAGGTCAAAAGTGTGAATTTGCTCTAACAATTTCGACCGTTATTATAGCTTCCAATCAGGTGCCAAGATGATAATTGATAAAAATCATCCCACAATCTAATTTGACAAATGCGCAGATGTGGCGAGATGCAATCCGATGATCCCATCTTAATCTGATATATAATTTTTTTTATAATCAGTGAAAAAAAAAAAGTATGTCGGATCAGAGCGTGGTCATGGGTAAACATTTGTGGTTATCGTAAATTATCAAATTACATCGTTAAGCAGTTTTCGCTATGTACAGGCGAAACCTTAAGTAGACGTGCCTATATTGGTGGTCTTTCCAAATATGTAACTGAAAACGATCTTAAAAGTCGGTTTGGTTCCTTTGGTATTATATCGAAAATAGATATTATACGTGATTCGAGCACAGGTGAAACTCTTACAAATTCTTTGGGAAAAAAAGCGTTATTATTCTGATGTATTGTTCATACCTTCTGGTTTGATTTTTACACTAGGAGAGTGTCGTGGGTTTGCTTATATAACTATTGAGAGTACTGCAGATAACTGGAAAAAATGTACGATTAGGTTTTTCAGGCTATTTTCATCTAATTGTAAAGAATATAAGTTTAGTTCAATTTGTAACTTGTAATGTTAATAATAATAAAGGCATGTCCCTTTTTAATGGTGCAAAATGGAAAGGAATGACATTAAAGATTCAGGACGCTAGGCCTGACTATAAACAAAGGCAATTTTTATTTTTTAATTTTAATAATTATAGTTTAATTTGGAATTTTGATCATATTACAAACAGCAATTACTTAAATTTTCATAACAAAAAGGTTGAAAGAAGAATGGGAAAATCAAAAGACTTTAAGTAATTCGTCACCATTAATCCCAAAAAAACGTAGACGTAGAAATACAGATACGATGTTTGCTGAAGACATGAGTTTGGTAACAGATAACAATGTTGATGGAAGAAAGGTTAGCGGCAATAAAACAATTATAATTCTTTATTTTCGAGAATTTTGAATAAATATTTAGTAGGGATGGAAAAAATCTAAATATGGTCGTGCGGTCTCGGTAATGCACATCAGAAGGAATGACGGAACAAAGGTGAATGAGCAATTCGATTATTATTTAATTTTTAGATTCCACATTAGATTTCATATACATTACCATTTTATTACATGTTCAGCTTACGATTGATCCGAGTCTGTATAAAAATAATCTCCAAAAATTTTCAGATAGCACAATAGATGTAAAATCGAAGCCACTCGATCAGTTAACATATTTTTATAATGATTATATAAACATATCGGATGATGAAAAAAAAGATCACAGTAGTGCAAACGAAAATAGTATACTAAATATATTCGGTGTAAAGAATAATCAAAATATACCCCATTCTAAAAATGAACAAAATACTGAAGAACAGACCGAAAATATCCCACCACCGAATAAATTACCACCATCAATTATTGATGGTCTCAAGAAATTGGAGTTGAAGAATAAAGTCGCGTCAAAGCAGGTAATATCATACCATTCAACATCCAACTTTATATTTAAATCTAAATCATTCCTATGATTAGGAACAATCGAATAAAGTTCGTTTAGAAGCGATAAAGCAACGTGCATTGGAAAAGAAAGCAGAAAAGGACAAAATTACTCAGGCTTTAAGAAAAGATGATGGATCAACGGTTATTACATATTTTTAACTATTTTGATTTTATTTAATTATTTTAATAATTCAAACTAAATTGCATGGCTTTCACAGAAGTCAAAGAATCACATAATATTTTCTGATGATGATCTAACGCCAGAAATTTCTGACAAGTTCAATTTGTTTAATTCGGATGAAGAATATAATAGCAATGAAAAATCAACCTTGGGTACTGAAAAAATTATTTAAGCATTATACATTAATATTTTGAAATGCAAATTCATAGTTATAATTCAAATGTTATAAATTTGTAGATATAGCAATTAATCCAATATTTGAAGGCGAATCGGGACGAGAACGCCTCTACCTTCAAAGAAAGTTTCGTGGTGATGACCGGTTTAAATTGACCAGTGATTTTGTTAGCGACGACGAAAATAATGATACCGATGAAAATAATATCGTACAGGATAGTGATATAGATCGAGTACTATCAGAAGAAAAAACAAACCAGATTGGAATCTTAAAAGGGCTTCTGGGTTATGATCCGAAAAAAACAGATCCCAAAAAGTTTGTAAATGTTCTTCATTAGTAACCAATATAGACCAAGGTTATATCGTTTCTTTTATTATGCAGGAAATCATTGCAATGGAAAGAACCAATTCACTTTGATCCTGATGCACCCGAGGCGAGAAATCTCGAACTGGATAGTGATCATGAAAATTCATCAGGTATTTATTTCCAAATCTCAAATTTTACATATGTGAAATCGTAATATATATTCATCGTATGCAGAATCTATGATCGAGTCTACAACAATGCTGTCAAAGCCTTTACCACGAGTATCAAAAGACGTAAAGGTCGAAATAAATGCTGATTTAAAGGGAATGTTTACCCCAAGCGTTTTAAAGGGTAAGATAGATATTCATAAAGAACGATAAAAGGATTTTCGTATATGGATATTTGTTCGAAATACTGTTATATTATAGCTGCAACTCCTTTTTCGCTTTTTGGTGGGAATATGGAGAACGAGGAATGCGAAGATGCTCAAATGGAAGATTTGAATAGCGATGAAAAATCTTCTTCGGTATGTTCATATCTATTTGCTTTTATTTGAAATAACTGTATTTATGAAACGTTTTATAATGTTCTTAAAGGATACTCTTAAAACGTTCTCTAAAATAACGGACCAAACCACAAGTCAAGGAATAGGATCTGCATCAGGTCCAATGTTTTTTTTTCATTTTGGAGATGCAGCTTTGTCTGCAAGGTTGTATATTCTTTTTTGGTTCATAATCATAATGTGATCATGTATCATAGTGACTTAATGTGAACTATTTTCTCCCACCAAAGATCACATTATAAAGATTTGAAAACTTTCATGCGAACTACCTCAATGTAAGCATTTCTCTAAATGTAATTTATTTTGATATTGATAAGTTCTCAATTTCTAGTTTTGGTCAATTTTACAGGGAAGATATAGTATCTCATTGGCAAAAGACGTCGCGTGATATGACTATTGAATACAAGCGGAAACATAAATCAGCATCAAGAAAATTGATGAAATTGAAGCACAAAAGTAATCAAACTTAGTTAAATTCTAAAATTGGTGATATTGGAATCTGTATCTAAAATTCAGCATCAAAATTGTGGGCGGACCGCACACACATATAGATCCTAATTTTTTTTTTTAAGTGAGCGCAGAACGAATAGCTCTAATACATATATATATTTTGCATAATAAATATAGCGCACATTGGAGCTTAAATATATATGAATTTATAAATTTTAATGGGCACATTTTCTATACAGTATTTTTAAAAATTATGGGTTCAAAGTGCACATGTCGTTAATCTTTAAGATGCAGAAAATTTTTTAATGTGCGCTCCGCCCCTTTCAGACACTGATTAGAAACCGTAAATTTTAATTCTAAATCAAGTTGCAAAACTTTAAACAAAAGTTGATCTTTTTATACGCAAAACTTTTTTAACTACTGTTGTATTATTATTATTTATTAATCAGGATTGACATATTGGTATTTTATTAAAAATTTTGCCTGCTTATTGTTTTATTAAAAACTTGTTATATATAGTATACTTGTTATATATAGTATATATATATACTGTAAATACTGGGACATGTCTATTTACAGGGGTTCCAAATGTTGTTCATATCGATATGGGGAACCGTTAAAGCAGGGTGCCATCACGTGATCTGGCGGTCGTCGGCCTGTCCATCCGGAAGTCGGAGCTATTTTTATTCGATACAATGACCAATCAAATTCAAGGCCAAAATCTGGGGCAAATTTCATATATAAGGCATATATCGGCGCGAAACTTTTCTTTTTTGTACAAGAAAACAGGTATGGCATTCTGAAATCTTTCTTTTCTTTTTTTTTTTTTTTTTGGTCCTGCAATCTTTCTTACAAATGAAAAAATGTTCTGCCAAAGAAATTTTTTTTAAAAAAAGGTTATGAATACTTCCAGTAGAGAAAACGAAAACATGAACTTCACACAAGACCTCTTGCAACTAAGTCCTGAACCAACAGACGTCGTTGTAATAAATTCAAGTCTTACGCCTAACCAAAAACGCACTTTACTTTTTAATGTCCAACGACCATTCGAAGTGCCGTTGAACGAATTTGATGCGGAATGGTGGCCTTTAGTTACAAACGTTTGGGTAAAATTTAGTTCTAAGAACCATGTTAATGGAAATTATTGGAAAACCTATATATGCCGCTTTAATAAACATTTGAAATCAAGCACGTGCAAAGAGGATGTTCCAAGTGAGAAACGGCGAAAAACGAAGGTTCAAGAGGTGGATTTATGTTTTGCAAAAATAAAAGTATCATGGTTTTTTACCACCCAGAAAGTGCTTGTTGAATGTTTTCAAAACTCCCTTGATCATGCACATGAACTAGAAGATAGTGAAAAATTAAAACACTCCCAAGCTGTTTGGGTTTTGGTAGAAAAGGAAGCGGTTAAGAATTATCTTGTACCCGCGATAGTTAGTGGAGTTAAAGAGTATACAAATGAAAAGCTGGATCTTAGCATTAGTGTAAAGGAATTGAAGTGGAGGAAAGTCACCAATATAAAATATAAGGTCTGTGGTCCTCAAAATACCTATTTAACTGGTGCTCCTAAACTAGCACAGGATATTCAGAATACAACTTCTTTTTTAGAAAAAGAGGGCTATCAAGTTGAATTGTTTAGAATTCATCACCAATCTACCCGCGGCTTCATTTTTGCATATCCAAAGCAACTTGAAAAGCTTCAAAGGTATGGATGGTTAACGCTAATGGACTCCACGCATAAAACGAATAAATATAACTGGCGTTTGTTTACGCTATATATTCGGGATAGATATGGTTGTTGAAACGTCGGTGGGCATTTTTTCGTTAGTAACGAAGATAGTGACACGGTTGCAGAGGCATTGAGGATAGTGCAGCAATTTTGTAGCTCTTGAAAATCTCGGTACTTTCTATTAGACCAAAGTAGTGTAGAAGCTAGAAGTATCATGGCAACTTTCCCAGGTCTTGAAAAAGGTGAACAGGAATGCGAAGTTATTTTTTGCACTGTACATGTTATGCGGACCTGGATGCATAAAATCTACGACACAGAAACTCAGAATAAGATGATTCAGGCTATGCATAAACGGACGAAAATTGGTTGTGAATTCTTTATTCAAAAATCGATTAACAAGTGTACTCTCTCCCCCATTAAAAAATACATTACAAGGGATTATTCGAAAAATTCTCACCAGTGGGCCGCCAACATTCTCCACTACTTTTGCAAGTAACTTCGACAAACGCTTTAGAATCATATTATAGTGAGTTAAAGAAAACACTCACCTCTTATTATGGTTTAATTGGAGCATGTGACAAGATCGTTGCACTTGACTTGAAAAAGCATTCGGACTCAGATTATGTCGCATTTGAATTTTGAGTGAAAAAAATTTCTGCCCCTGATATTGACGATGATATCCTAAAGAAAATTCACAAGTTTCCTTTTCCAATTCAAAAATTAATAGTTGGTGAAATTTTTGCTGCCGATAATAGAGTGGAAAAGGGGAAGGAATTGCCCGGTTTAATGTTAATTGAGTGCCACTACCTTTTTTTTCGCAAGTACATGCTCCCTTGTAAACATATTTTTCATGAACAAAAATATGGCCCCAGAAAGTTGCTGACGATTGATGCTTGAAGACAATTTCAACGACAGTTTGATGAAAGTGGATTCGAAATTTATGAATGCCGTGAGTTAGTAAATTTTGAATCATTTGAAAAAGACGAAATCGATAAAGCGGCAGAAAAAAGAAAGCTTACCATTAACGAATTAATGGAAAGAATGCGTAACCAGTACTGGAGTATCGAGGAAAATGGGGATGAAATGGAAAAGTCTGAATTCATTCAAAGATTGAAATTTTGTTTAGACCCCATTCTAAAATAAATAAATAGAAAATGTTAGAAAACAAAAAAAAAAAAATGGTTTGAATATAAAACAAAAAAAAAAAAAATACTTCGAATGTTATAAAAAAGCTGCAGAATAAATAAATAAATAATATTAGAGGCGGATTTGCAACAGTGTATCGTGCACTTATAGTTGAGTAGACGTTGCACCAAAAGAGATGCAATGAATTATTTTTTGTATCAAAAAAAATTTAATTGTGTTCATTGTAACGATATTCGTGAACAAGACCATTAAAGCAAATTTAGTGTTAATAGAGTCTCAAATAAAAAAATAAATAAATAAATAAAATTTTGCACCTTTCCATTAGATTCTTAAATTTCGATCGGCTATCCCGTGACTGAAGTGTCTCCGGATGTCTTAAATTAGGTCGGCCACCGACCGCTGGATCACATGATGGCACCCTGCTTTAACGGTTCCCTCGATATGGCAAATTAAATATTGAACATTTACTCAAAAAAGGTTTCTTCTATAACCTCATATTGTGAAACAAAACATCTATACTAGTGTTACAAATCTAAAGTTGAAAAAATCAATTAGTTGGTTAGTTGACAACTAATTGATTGAACTTTTTAGATACCAACTAATCGATTAATCAATTAATCAACTAATCGATTAGTTGCAACTAATCAATTAAAGAATTAATTATTAATTGATTAAAAAATTAATTAATTCTTTAATTAATTAGTTGTAACTAATTGATTAATTGATTAATTGATTAGTTATAACTTACAATTAATCAAAAAAATCAATTAACTAATTAATTGATTAGTTGCAATTAGTTTGTTAACTAAAAAAATAATCCTCAACTAATTGATTGAGAAAATTTTGGCGATTTGTAACACTAATCTATACCTTTTTATATTAAAAATATATTTAAAGTATTTTTTATAAAATTATAAAAATCTGAACTCTTAATTTTTTTTGTATTACTATATTAGCAAAATATATAAACATAAATTTATGTAAATTATTATAATCTGGAATAATTACAGTCTATACAGAATATTTTGAAATAAATTACAAAATATTATGAAATATATTTCAAAATATTACAAAATATTTTCGAAATATTATGAAATATTTTCAAAATATAATATAAAACAATTCAAAATATTTTAAAATAATTCGAATCATTTCAAAATAAGCTAAGTTAAATTCGAAATATATTTCATAATATTTCGAAATTTATTTTGTAATATTTTGATAAAAATTACATAAAATTACAAAATCAATAGTAATATTATTTAATATAGTTTAATTTATTTTGAAACTATTCGAATCAATTTGACTTCACTAGACTTTATAGAGTCAAGTTAACAAATATTTATAAACTTAAAATAATTTATTTGGTATAAATATAAATTAAAGTGAAATAATCAAATTATTGTAAAATAATTTGGCAAAGCAATATCAAATTAAATCAAAATTATATAATAAATTGCAATATGTTTAAAATAAGTAAATTTAAGTTAGATCAGATAAATTTGAATTAATTTGAATTAATTTGAATTAAATTAAATTTATTAAAATTTCTTTGATTATTTTATTATTTTATTTTATTTAAATTTTAAAAATAACATATAAAAAAAGCTAAATTATAAATAATTCTATATAAAAAATAAAAGATAAAAAGCATAGCATTATTCAATTAAAAAAAAAAACAAAAAAAAAAAAACTTTTACTTATCATTATCCATATTTTTCTTATTATTATCTAAAACATTCTTATTATATTTGTTATCTGAGATTAAAAAATCAATTATTATTAGGATCATTTTTACCTGCTTCTGGTTCTTCATTTTGGTCTTTTATATCTTCATCTGATTCAACTCAAACAACTTTGGATTAAATATAATTATATTTAGCAAATTCAAACTATTTTGAATTAGGATTAATTTAGAATTAACTGGTGTGAAATTTACTAGCCTAAAAATTTTTAGGGTTAGGGTTAGGATATTAAGAATTATTTGTTTATTATATAAAATAATATAGAGCTAATATAAAGCCCTAATTTTAGTTTTTATGAGGTTTTCAGGGGTTCTGAATATTTTTACTTGAAGTACCCAATCCTGTTTACTTAGTACGTTTTTGAGATACAGTATCCTGGTAAATTTTATCTTTGATAAAT